ACTTTCAAATTTCTCTGATACTTTGAATTTTCCGTGGAAAGTAACGATTGCCATAGTTTTAGGTGTGCCATTTTTTGGAGACATTATGTGATTTGTTGATTACATGAAAAGTAGTTAGTTGTTTAAATTTATGCATGCAAAAATATGTATATATTTTATTCTTTTGATTTAATTACAAGACATATAATATATACACTAAATACAATTTTTTTATTACTGTACACAGATGTTATATAATTTATTAATTACATGAAAGGATTTCAAAAGTTAGTTGTTCTAAAAAACCTTTAAATTTATACATACATAATACATATATGTATTCTTTTGATTTAATTGCAAGACATATAATATATATACATTTTTTTATTACTGTACATAGATGTTATATGATTTGTTAATTACATGAAAAAATTTCAAAAGGTTGTACTAAAAAACTCTAAATTTACACACACACACACACACACACACACACACACACATGTATATATATTAATATTTTTCTTATTTATTTGGTTAGTTACAAGTCATATAGTATATACAGTATACAACAAATACAATTTTTTTATTATTGTACATAGATGTTATATTTAATTACATAAAAGGATTCAAAAGGTAGTTAGTTGTTCTAAAGAACTTTTAAATTTATACATGTAACAATAAAAAATAATAATAAATATATATTTAGATAAATAAACTAAAAAAAAAAAATTTATTATATGAAATCTAATCCATTAGGAACTCCTGAAGTGCTGTATCAAACTCAATCTCAGCTTGAAGATTAAATGCCATTTGTAATTCCTCAGGTTCATCAATTTCTAATGGTTGAATTTCGTCTTCAGGATCATCTTCTATTGGAAGATCTTTTTCACTTGTAAGTCTATTAATAATAGATTCTACATATTAATCTGATTTTTATGTATTTTAAACAATATAGACACTTGTGGTCATGATGTTGTAAACAATATTCATGATAAATATGACCACATGGAAGAAGTGTCAACTTTATGAACTGCTGAAAATTTTGATCACTAGAATTTAGGTGAGACTTCATACAAGTATCCTTAAGATGACACTCTATTGATTGGTCAATTGGTGGATAATCTGTACTAAATGCCATTGGTAAATGGTGTTGATCAACAATTATATCAAGGTTGCAAGGTGGCATGGAAATTGGTGATTTATTTTATTTGTTTTATTTGTTTTTGCTTTCTTTGTTTTAGAATTTTGCTTAACATCTTGTCATTTACTTTTTCCTACATTGTTTTTGACTTTAGTGAA